CAGGAAGGAGACCTCCTCGTCTCAGCCCTCCTCCTTCCCACTCCTGCTCTGGACACACCGGTTTTCTCTCCGTCCCTGGGGCTCACAATATGCTCTTTTGCCCCAGGGCCTTTGCACGTGCCATTCCCTTCTTCCCTTGCTGGTGAAGCCCTCCTCGTCCTCCCCATTGCCTTCCGTGGGAGCCCCAGTGTTGGCTGGGAGTTACTCGGGCCTCTGTGGGATCTGTGACTCACACCTCTGCCTCCTCGCAGCCTCCCGACTGCGGGACCGTGCCTGATGCGGCCAGTGCTGTGTCCCCGGGACTGCCTCAGTGCTGAGGCTCCAGGTCAATATTTGTGGAATGAATGAGTGACAACAGCAGCCCTACGTGGGCGGGCACACATGGGCTTCCTCTTGCTGCCAGGGAACCGAACCCTTACAGGATAGAGAAAAAGCCTGGAGCGCACCCCCTACAAATATCCATATTGATTTTCTCTGAGCCACATGATTACAAGGGACTTCTTTCTTCCTTACACTTTGCTTTCCCTCAAGTTTTTAAAAACCAATAAGCATGTAACAACCTTTCCTTATCAGAAAAATGGTAAGTGATTTCAAAATACAGGGTGGGGCAAAAGTAGGTTTCCAGTTGTTTGTATGGACAATAATACAATAACTGATAAATAATAATATAAGCATAAACGCTATTTTGCATGCTCACAACTGTAAACCTACTTTTCCCCACTCTGTGTTATATCAACAGTCAAAACACTATGTCAGCCTCAGGAATGAGGATCAATCTTTAGATCCATGACTGCCTAGTCTTTGGGATTTACCCATGTAAATAAAACAATCTTTTTTATTTATTTATTTGGGAGATGTAACCTCTGAGTAACTTCAAGGACACCTTTTTGTTAATACATATTTCTGAACTTTAGTTCGTGGCATGGCCTCTAGGGGCAACTATAAATTTCATTTATTTTAATTTGTCTTTATTGGCAGTTGTAAGTGGACTATGGAATTGTACCTCAGGGTGGCCTCTAGCTGACCAAGGGTGATTCTTCTAATCAGAAAGGCCCAATGCAGTCAGCACATGGGGGCAATGTTCACCCCTCGTGTTTTATAAAAACTGGAAAATGCTGACACGTTTGCAGGTTTCAATTCTTCAAAATGGACCTGTGTCCCCACATCCCTTTTTAAATCAAATCTCCTCTCCCAAATCCATTTAGGCTCTAGGAAGAGAGGGTTTGTCTAAGAGAAGACAGGAGTGCCCATCAAGTCCGTTCACAAAACATTTGGCAACTCATGCATCATCTGTTCCCTGGGGAGCCAGGCTGAGCCTGCGCCGCTGCAAACGCAGCTCATTTCTTCATAAATCACCGCTGCTGGCCAGGCCGGCTCCTTAAACTCAGTCCAGGGGGCAGGACGCAGTCAATTATTTTTTATGCAATGAGTGCCACTCCATTTCTGCCTACGTAACAACTGTCCTCATTAGTTCCCTTTTCCAAACAATTTAACATCAGGGGCTTCGCATCTCACCTCCGAGGATTCTTCTGGGTCTCCGTTCTCTGCAATCGTGGTGTCATTTGTGGAGCGCCAGGGGGCGGGCACTGTACCTGCCTGTCTTTCTGAGTCCCCACAATAACCCTGTGGTATGGTCCGTCGTTGATGGACAGGGAGAATGAGCTTAGAGTGATTAACTCGATTAATTCGCTCAAAGTCACAGAGCCAGAAAGTGGCCTAATGAGATCCAAACCCAGGTCTGTCTATTCCCGAAAATCACAATCGTTTTCTAATATCACAGTCAGATTCAAAGCAGAGCTCTCTGTCTCCATGACAGCCAGATGGGAGACAAGACTGCCTAAAACCGCCTAGGTCATGTTGTAATAAAGGAGAAACTGAAATTATGTTTTATTTTTCTTCTCTCTCCCCCCTCCCCACACCCTGCCCCCTACTTTGGGCACTGAACAGATTTCCTGTGTCCTTGTTGGGAGACTACCACATGGATGAGAATCTCAAGGGGAGGCCCGCTATTTTTAAATCTGTTGAGTTTATAATAAACACTCTCAGAAAACTAGGAATGGGGGGGGGAGGGGGGCTTTCTCTACTTGTTAAGAGCATTTATAAAAAAAACTACAGTGAGCATCATACTCATGGAGAAAGACTGAATGCTTCCCCTCTAAGATCAGGAACAAGCAAACATGAAGATTTCTACTCTACACATCACTATTTTTCAGCAGAGTACTGGAAGTGCTAGCCCATGCAATAAAGCAAGAAAGGGAAATTAAAGGCATTCAGCTCTCCTTTTCTCAGAGGAGAAATAACATTGTTCTTATTTGCAGATGACATGACTGTTTGGGTATCAAATCCTAAGAGTTCTATAAAAAGCCTTCTAGAAAGTTCAGTTAAGGTTGCAAGGTACCATATAAGCATAAAAAACCCGTTGTATTTACTGTCAATGACATGTGGACACCAAAATTAATAATATAATGCCATTTATAGTCGGGGGGGATAAGAGTAAATATATATATAACAAAAATGTATGGGACTTATATGCTGAAAACTACAGAACACTCATGGAAGAAATCAAAGACCACCTGAACAAATGGAGAAACATACCATGTTTGTGGATGGAAGGCAACATAGTAAAGATATAAATTATTCTTACACTGATATATAGGTTTAAACACAATTCCTATAAAAATTCCAGCAAGATATTTTGCATGTACAGGCTTGTTATTAAAATTTATATGGGAAGGCAAAAGAACCAGAATAGTTTTAAAAAGTTGTAAAGGAAGAATAGAGTCACTATATGATTTAAGGCTTAATATACCTACAATAACCTAGACCACATCATATTGGTAGAGCGATAGACACAGAAATCAATGAAATGCAATAGAGAACTCAGAAATAGCCCCCCACACAGTATGGCCAAATGATTGTTGGCAAAGCTACAAAAGCAATTCAATGGAGAAAGGACAGTCTTTTCAACAAATGGTTCTGGAGCTACTGGATATCCACATGCAATAACGATAAAAACTTGACTTAAACCTCACATTATATTTTTAAAATGATCTCAAAAAGGTTCATATATTTAAATATAAGACATACAACTACAAAACTTTTAGAAGAAAACACAAGAGAAAATCCTCAGAATCGAGGGCATGGGGACTCTGCAACTACGCTCTGTAAAAGAATAAAGATGATAAACTGCACCTCATCAACACTTAAAACTTTTGCTCTGTGAAATATTCTGTGGAGAGAATGAAAAGACAGACTCCCGGTGGGAGAAAATATTTGCAAACCAGACCTCTGACAAAAGACTCATATCTAGAATACAGAAAGAACTCTCAAAACTCAGCA